CCCGCCTCCCAATTTAAGAATTCTAGCTGTGTGTCAATGGCTACCATAGAAAGTAACAGGATATGAGCCACAATCTTCAATGGTGTATGAAGGAAGATGGGATCAATCACGGTTTCAATGGCATGATGACTTTCAATCGGTAAAAAGAAGGAGAAGCAAATAGACGACTATCACTAACAACAAAACATTGTTGTTGAAGTGATATTCTACAAAGAGTGCGGGGTTGAATATCTTGTCTTTTTGTTGCGTTCAATAATATAATGAAATGAACATTCAACTGATGTAGAGGAGTGCCCATTCCAACTCTTTATTGGAATGTCCTTCCAATTAAACAAACATTATTAATTCCTTTTATTCTACAGATAACAACATTGAGAATAAGAATGGGTAATTAGGATGGACATTCCATTCTAACTCATTCCCCTATACTAATTGTGGTTATACTTGATTTTCCTTGTTAATCTCAAGAACCACTATGATTGTGATAATATGCCAAGAAACAACTAGGACAAGACCGCCACCTTCTACGAACAAATACCACAATACCATCCTCATGATGGGACAACATTTGACCAGACTTATTATAGTTGTTGTAATGGACTTACAAAATCAACAAGGATTTAAAAAGCATTTTGGTTTTCACTATTTATGTCTTACATGTTTTTGCAGGATTGGGTTGGCAGCGCCATCTGAAAGCCCATTTAAAGGGGTAAATATTGGATATAACAGTGATACCGTGTGAGAGTCTCACAATCCAAAATTAGAAATCCTACTTTGCAATAGGATGGGAGGCAAGATTTGTCCATATAGGATGGTGCCACCGTTACACTCATTATTCTTTCCATTCAAAGGCCATTAATTTGAGTGAACTCATGGATAGAACAACCAAGAAACTCCTCTCGAACGAAACCTTTTTTTCCCCTCTCAATAGACAAATATCATCAAAGCAATCAATCGCCAAGAGGCCTACAATCGAAGATAGCTTCCCTACTTATCCAATTTGGTAAAACACTAGACCGGCAGCAAAGATCTACTAAAGTTCGAGCATAATGCTTTCAAGGCTCTCTGTTCTTAGCTCCCTATTAAATGTATGTGGTACATAACGAAATAGACGAGCAAAACTCAGTCCTTAATCTGATGAATTCTTCAATAATCACATACAGTTGAGACAAAGGCTGAACTTGTCGAGAAAGCATTTGAACTCCTCTCGAAACGAGCTTGAGCGAGCTTCTGGAGAGAACTATTCAATTATGCTCGTTCTTGGATTTAATGCTTGTTTATTCAATACATATCAAAGCACGTTATCAATTATATAGGCACATGTTATCTTCTTTGCTACTTCTTAGAGAACGAAAAGAATTGCTTATTATAATAACATCTTTTTTTCAGAAGCCTTTCAATGTTGTTGTAAAGTTTATTTTTTGGCCTTGTATGGTGCCTATTAAAGAGGATGATCTTGAAGTTATTCTTGACACCTATGTATTGTTAATGCACACTCACGAATAACTTGCAAATGAAACCTACAGAGTAGTCCACAAAAAACCAAGTTGCAATGTACTTTTAAGGACACTAATTCGTATGCCTTTGTTAATAGGCACTCCATACCATTCATTATTCGCGAATTTTTCAATAAACATGGAAATTTATGAACAAATATCCCTAAAGGAAACAAACATGCATCAAGGCTTAATGAAGAATGATATGATTGGTCCAAAATACTTATAAAACATGGTACTAAACTACGGGTTTTATCTATCAGAATGTGATTTTCTTTCTCAAGAGGATGGGGACGAGTTTGATAGCAATTAACAAAACAGAGGTTGCTCGAAGTATAATTTGAGGTTTGGTGGAAGGTTTAGGAACATAGTTAGAATGGCTACCTAATCGTATTATGCATAATCAAAATGAACCAAAAAATAACAATTTCGAGGGCATCATAAATAGTACCCATTAGTCCTACTTTTTTTCCCACTTCAGATATAGGCTTTATATTCCATAAGTTTGACTACATGACAAATAATTTTAGTTGGGCGAAGAAAAGTTTGAGAAACAATAGCACAAACTCTTGTTCTTTTACATTCTTTCACACGAAGGTTGACCAACTTCTTGAGGAGATTGATCACATTTATCATCAGAGAGACATGAGTGTGCTATAAAACTAGGAGAAGAATTAAAGTAAACAAATTAATTCCTTTAACCTGTTCCTTCTAGTTTCCGGTTCTTTTGGATTGTTAACCTGGCTTAATGACACTTATTGGAAAGAATCGCTTGAAATTCATTGTCTACATTCAATTATAAAGCTTGGTGTGGAATCACCATCATGATTTGGGTATTACTGGTCCAAACTAGGAAAACAGCCACTTATGTGTACAGAAATAAGTTGCGTACATCTAACTCTCTCCTGACCCAGCAGTGATGAGAGCCTCATGCACTGGGACTACCCTCTAGTGTGGAATCACCAACATTACACATTTATTGTTGCATAGAGCATCACCAAAACAACTATATTCCTGGATCTCTCGCCCACAATTGCCCACTAGTATCTTTTCTATTTGGTTAAATTAGTTGGAGATGATCAACACTTTTAGATTGTGCATCACATGAGAAAACTATTTAATATTGTATGTCTAGTTAGTTACGACATATCTTATTATGTTCTTTTCTTCTTCTTCTTTTCATTTGAAGTATTATTAAAATAGCAATACATTAATTCATCATCCATGAACCAACAAAGCAATAACAATACTTTAATTGAAGAAGCAAAATAAAGTATATATCTATGAAACAATTTAAGATATGATAGTGCAACAAATAAAAGCAAACTAACTTCCTTATGGGTGGAGTTAGTACACTCATTAACACGCTTAAAAATGTCTTAATTTGTTTTTGGAGTTTGTTAATGTAACTAAAAAGTGTTATTGTTAAGTTGAAGTAGCAGTTACAATGACCAAAAAACAAAGCTACATATCTAATGCATGAGCAATATGTTCTGAAATGCTTCTAATATATCTGTCATCATATTCTGCATATAAATTTTGTTACTATACCATAATTTACATCACAAATTTACTTGAGTTTGACTTGATATACTATCACATGTAAAGAGTTTATGGTCTATCATTAAACATAAATAGACTAATTACTAAGTACCCACAATAGATGCAAATCGTTCGGCTGTGTTGGGATATTGAATTCTTGGAGTGACTTGTAATTAGGGGAAAATATAAAATTAAATTAAATTAAAATAATAAAAAAAAAAAACTTATACTTCATTTTTGTTTTGCCTTTCATTTTTTTCTCTCATGATCCCAACACAGTCTTAGCGTGCACCAAATGAAAACAAGTAATTTCTAATATTTTCAATGTTGTGCAGCTCTTCTATGCCCCATCTGGGAAACAATATACATCAAGGAAGAAGGTTTTGGAAGCTTGGACAGACATGGACTGAGTGCTACAACAGAAGGGTCTGCTGCGATTATCGCTATAGTAGTTCTTCAGCTAGTTTATTCTTCATGAATAAAACAAATTGATTACAATATCTATAGTTTTTACAGGTTTAGTTGAAACTAATTAGTTTGTTATAAAGGTCCATGCCTCTATTACATGATTTCTAGTTCAAATGTTGAATGTGATGCAAACAGCAATGCTACATGAAATGTATGGTCTAGATTTGTTCTGGATGTGGCACACAAGAAATGTGTGGGCTAGATATGTTTTGAATGTGGCCCACAAGAAATGTGTGGGCTAGACTCAACTCAACAAAGCCTTTTTCCCAACTGATCATCAACCACATGAATCCATCCATGTGTTTTGCCAAAACTAAATTATAGGTTTACTACTTTTTTGAAGTGTGGTTTTGTGATGATTGTGTTACTTCATTGTTTAGGTACATCATGATTAAACTATTACATGAACTCTCTGCAGGCTATCATTGACTATATTGAAATGTGGCTGGTCTGCATTTTGAGAGAGTAGAGCTAGGCAGCCAAGGGAGTGTGATTTTAGACCAGTTAATATAAACCCTTTATGTAGAAGATGAGACTTGTACATAACTTCTCAAGAGAAGTCTGTATGCCAAATAAGAGTTACTGGAAAGTAGGCTATATTTTTATTAGAGTTCAAGATGAAATGATTTGGCACTATTCATTCATTGAGAATAGTTCGAATTTAGATTTGATAGTTTAGATATGGTTTTTTCAATATTGAATTTGACGTGTCCTGATAGATTTGAAATAACAATATCATAGTAATTCTTTGAAATCCTTAAATACTAAGAGTTCTTTCTGTAAGGATTCTAATCAAACACTTCTCTTCTATCTCTAATTAATCTCGTATATTTTTATAAAATTCATCAACAAATTTCTTCATTTGAAATTCATCCATCCACACAGGGCCTAACTGTCATTATACCTGTTAAGGGAGCCTCACCCAATCCCACGTTAGTTCCTTCTATCTTATGGTGAGGTGCTAGTTTAACATTTTCAAAATTTGTGTTACCCCTTTCAATATTTTATAAACCCAATCTGCTGAATGAGGCATTGCTAGTAAACAACCCATGGTAGCAGATAAATAATCTTGATCTAGCTCATTCACCATTTTTCTGTCTATTGAATTTCTTCTCACTCTCCCAACCCAACCAGAAATTCATCCATCTTCACTTTCTTTTCTTTTCTTACCTTTTCATTTTTCTTTTTATTACACAAATCTAAGATTCAAACACAATATTCAGTGTAGATTAACCAGGAAAGGAAATCTCTGACTCGCAAATTCCAAGCTGCTTTAGTTGGAATGTCCATAATCAATGTTAGCCAACATAGAAGGAGATCAAAAAGCAATGGCACAACACACACCCAACTGGATCCCCCTAAGTTACTTTTTGATGGCATGTGTTAAAATCAAATAAAGGCAAATAATCGAACAGGAAAAGAAATAAAACAAGAAAATAAATAAAGAGATGAAATGTAACAATGAATTGAAGGGAATAAATTGCACGGAAAAAGGACAGTAATAAAACCAACTACATTTATGTAGAGGAAAAATATAAAATCGTCCAAGCAACACTTTTAATGCTGGAGAGAATGAAACCCGGATTATGGTACAACATGAATAAAGAATGCGACAAAAATTCCTCGGCCTACAAAATTAGCAGCAGAGGAACACATTCTTGATAATACCATGGAAATAAAACATGAAACCAAAAAAAAAAAAAATTACAATGTATAAAAACAAAGCTGCAGGGCCAAGCAAGTACAAACCATTTTGGATATCGTCCTGTAAAAGTTAGAGAACCTGCAGCAGCTCCATAGATCCAAAGCTCTTGCCCTCGCAACACAGAAAACAAAAGAAAAACGTATCAACTCCCCATGAGATGGAAAAAGAAAAACATTTCCACCATAATAAGGCATATTATTTCTGTCAGCATCCGCTATATGAACACCTCTCCTTTTGGTTTGCACTTATTGCTATAAATGGGGAAAATTCAATTCCCAGGAAAAAGGTATTTCTCAAAGATTCCTGAATGAAGAGTGCCTCCACCTCTCAAGCTTCAGCCTCCGGCTATTTTCACCATTTATAGGCTTCAACAATCGCTCTACTTCAATTTCAGATTTGAGCAATGATTGCAGCCTCTTTAAATGTCCACTACACTGCTTATGTTCAGAAGGAAGATTGCTTCTCTGTTCATCTGGCTTAACGCGTCTCTGATAGGGAGAGTCCCACTTTGCTTGCAAATAAGCAAGGGACCGCCATGGAGGAAGAGGCATCGAGTTCTGCTTTAGAGAAGATCTAGAAGCTTCCACCATAACTTGAAGGAACTGTCTCAGCTTCGTCAATGAGCCCACATAAACAACAGGGAGAGAGTTGAGTATTCTATCGTAGGAGTCGACAGCTCTAGCTATTTCAAAGTGGCTTTGAAAATCGATATCAATGATCAAACGCTCAGAGCTTCCAGTACCTTTGTAATTGACTACATCAATATATTCATGGTCCCCTGCATAACAGGCAGAACATAATTTAAGTATGGAACATTAACCTAGAAAAAGATTTCTTATTTAATGACTTGACAAAATGGTCCAACTTAAAATCACACAGTATGATCAAGAAATTAGCAACACCAGTGCTGCCCAAGTCCACAACCATAACATAAAAAATTTGCAATCTTCCCAAAACATTGCAAATAAAATTTTCTTAGGGGTCAAAAAAAATTGAAGATATATTTGCAGAAGGATCACTAATTCAAACATATATCTACATATAGCAATCATATATAAGGCAGATCTGGTATCTTCTATCTTCACACTGTCAAGAAATTAAACCCTAATGAGATGAATTCTTTTTATCCCCCTGGGTGACAAGATTTTTTCCTTTTTGTACTCTTAGCTAAATCTGATAAAAAAATATATTGAGAATTTGTCTAAACCAATTCAATGGCATACCTCCAGGGACCTTCCCACTACCCTGCCACTTAGATGCACACACAGCAGCGTCATAACCAGAAAGCCTCAAAAGCTTCACCAGAGAAAACCTGATGCAGCTGGCATTACACGGCCCTGGCTTGACAAGGTGAACGTCGGTTTCAATGATAGATAGCAAAAGAGAATTAACCACCGACAGCAAATTGCTCTCATACTGATCCGCAGAGAGCTTGTAATACTGCAAAATGACAGAACCAACCAAAGGTGAGCAACATCTATAAACTAATGAACAGTAACAACTTCTTTTTTGGGGAAAACAAACAAACAAACAAACAAATTTGCATAGATGTTATTGTGCATTAAGAAAAAAAACACCCCAATGGTTCGGTGGCAAATTTGCACAAATAGAATTTGATAATTTTGTTATTGCTTTACTGTTTTGATAGTTTTACTACACCCAAAAGAGCTGGTCTAACCATACAAACAAAAGATGAAAAATGTTCCGGGCATCACACCTCCTCCCCCAAATTTTTTAAGCTATGTTTGGATCTTGGATTTGTAGAGGGATTTGTGTAGGGGGGAATAAAGGTTTGGAAAAAGTGAATGAAATAGAAAAAGACTATCCACTGTTCCTCCAGTTACATTCGACAGAGAATTAAATTGATCTCTATTTCTAAATTCACAATATTAAATCAATCAAATTGAATTGAAACACACAGCCAATTTAATTTTAACATCAACAAATTCACTCATGATCAGGGAAGATTGCAGTGCTTTAACAGTTGACACCTAGTGCATAATAAAGACAAATAATCATTCAGAATCAGCTTGTAAAAAATGTAAACAATTTTCAAAAGCAAAATGGCCTTTAAATTCATCTCAAAAACAAAAACAAAAACAAAGTTATGGAGCCTGTAAAATGATATGGTGTAACTGATAAACTACAATTTCACCCAAAACATCACTACAGAGAAACACACAATTATATAAACAAAAGGGTTCCAAAAGTGAAAGAAGCAAATTTTTATGTCTAGAGATAGACTAACCGAAATGTTGTCGGCTAAGTGAGAAAGATCGCAGAATCCAGAATCGCTATCGCTGCTATACCGGGACTCAGTCCCACCACTGCCGTTCTCCAAGAAATCACTGACCATGACCGCTAAGTCATGCTCGCTCTCATGGCTGAACCCACCGATTTGACTCGCGTACTGACCGCCTCCGCCGCCGGCCATTCTGACCCACAAATCTCCGGTGGCCGCACAGACTCTACAATCCATCCCAGCCACACCAACAATCAAAAATTGTTGAAAATTGATTGAATCAATTCGAAACCCTAATTGAGAGCAATTTCCAATCCAAAATTCTTTAAATTTGATAGAAACTGAGAACAGAGTCGTCTGAATTGAAGTTTATACTGCTGGGTTTGGATTTTAATACGGAAATTATAGGAATTGAATTGTGAAATTATAGTCAACCGAATTGAACGAAAATCCTGGCAAAACCTATGAATTTTTTGAATTTTTTGGGGGAATCAAATGGGTTTTTGATGATCCAAATGAGCCCTTGTTTGATTCAATTCAAAACCCTAATTGAAATCAAATTCCAATCCAAGAAAATCGAATAACATAGTCGTCTGAATCGAAGTTTATACTCCTGCGTTTGAATTTTAAAACCAAAAAAAAAAATACAAATTGAATCGTTCAACTTTATTCAACAGAATTGAACGAAAACCTTGTGAAAAACTATGAAATATTTGAATTTTTATTGTGATTGAAATGGGTTTTTGATGATCCAAAAGGGGCGAGAAAAGGATTGAGACCCAAACCCAAAGGATGAGAAGAAAACAGAGCAATGAGAAAACAGAGTTCATATACTTCTTTGAAGATTTCTAAATGACCATATTACCCTCGAACTGTATTCGTAATTACTATAATAAAGACGTTACGTTTAACGAGAATGTTGAGATATTTGAATGTTCGTTTTTTTCATTTTTGGAATAATAAAAAATTTCCAAGGAATATGTTTTGTTATTCGTTGTCTAAAATCCCTTTTTAAGGAAAATAATTTAGGTGACAACAAGAAGTTTGTCCCAATAATTGAAGAGTTTCCAGCTGTTTCTTAACGGACATATAACATAAGATATGTTTTTGGCCAGATATTAATGGTGCCAACATTTTCTTGCCAAATTCAAATATGATGGGTAGAGTCTTTAACTATAATTTTTATTTTTTTGATAATCGAGTGTTTGAGTTAATTTATACATATATCAACTAATTTTAAGAATCTAAAGTTAACGGTCGAGCACCTAATGGCCACTTAAGCTAACTCAAATTCGATATCTTAAATTTTATTTTTTAAGTCTTTATAATTCGACTAATTTTGTAATATTGACAATAATATGTTATGATTATCAAATTTATATATTAAAAATTAGTTTATCATTTCATTTATTATTGCTATATTGTTAAAAAATAGGAAAAATTACAACTCATTGTAATGTTAAAAAAAATAATTACAAAATTATTGAAAAACTTATGAATTTAAATATTAATATTGATCAAATTTTCCACTAATATATAATTATTTTTATAAAAATAAACTGATATATAATTTCCCAAAAAAATATGTTTGGTGGATGGTGCTAATTAAATCAATGCAATTGTGACAAGAAATATAAATATTTTCTGAATAATGTTATATGTACCAATTGGTGTACTAACTAGTGTACCAATTGATGATGTGACATAATTTAAGAGGTTTTTAGAATTTTTAATGTGATTAATGAGTGGGGTTAATAATAATATCATAACTAGTGTTGGTACACTAGTTAGTACACTAATTGGTTCATGTAGCACTACCGATATTTTTTTAGCTGTGGTATTACATGCACCAATTAGTATACTAACTAATGTACCAACACTAGTTATGACATTATTATTGACATCACTAATTAATCAATTTACAAATGCCAGAAACCTCTTAAATTATGCGACATCATTAATTAATACACTAGTTAGTGTATAAATTGATATATATAACATTATTCTTTTTTTATACACACATGTAGATATCATACCATTATTATTATTTTCATATTTCTATAATGAATTTTCTTGTTATTAATCAATGCACCATTTAACAAACTAATTTGTTTGTTGGCCAAAATCCTTATATCTCGCCTGGAGGTCAAGAGTTCAATTTTTTTGCCTATATGCATGCTGATCTTATTTGTAGGGGTGAGCATGGTCCGGATTGAATCGGATTGGGGGTAAAATCAGGACCAATCTATTATTTACAGTTCTTAAAAAATTGAAACCAATCCAATCCGTTTAAATCATGGAATCAATCCGAACCAATTCATTTAAACACGGGTTGGATCGGTTTAGGACCACGGATTCACATAATTAAATAACAAAAAATATATATATAACACTTTAATTTCTTAAAAATATAAACATAGCGCTATATTAGTTCCACAATAGCAACATGTCTTTCTATAATAGCGACATACTGTTCTAGAATTTAAACAATCAAAAAAAATTGGTTTCACCATAAATATTTAGACCATTACAAATCAAAACTAAAAACTAACAAACAAAAGTAATAAAAGAAGATATTATGCAGGTTTAGATTTGAGTTTAGGTTTCATATGGAATAAGAGAAAATACTATGGGGGAGGATGTAAAATAAAAATATAGACTATTTGTATACGGTCCGGATCGGTTCCAATCCGGAACCGTGGGGTTCAATTCGGAACTAATCCGTGGACTACGAATTTTTAATTGTTCAATTCGGAACCGAACCACAGATTCAAAAAATCAATCCAATCCTATCGAATTGGACTGGACTGGATCGGATTTCGGATTTCACGGATTCCTTACTCAGCCCTACTTATTTGTGCGTAATTGTTTGAGTTCTTTCTTTTTATTAGGGGTGAGCAGCGAATATACCGATACGCCAAAATAGACCGAACCGAACTGATCCGCTGCATTTTGGACGGATGCGTGATGACGAGCGGACGGTTGCGGATTGATTTTCTCCAATCTGCCAATCTGGCGCATGGATGGTGGATTTGAGATTTCTTTGGCCGCAACCGAGCTGCCAAACTGCGAGCACCCCTAGTAATTTATAAGACTTTATATTTTCAGTTTGTTTAAATATTCTGTTTGTGTTTTCAATTAAAAAAGAGTTTAAATATTCTGTTGAAAAAAAGTTTTCAACTTGAATATCTTTTTTGAATTAAAAAAAATAAACGTATTATTTATCTATATTTTTTGGTTTTTAAATCTATCTCTAAAAATAATAAATAGAAAAATGATATATGCTGGTTGATTTTTGTTTTCAAAAACAGATATAGATATAACAATACAAAGACATACAATCTCTACTACTGCTCTGTTCATGGTTTTAGTAGTTTGAATTATTTTTATATTTTAAAAATCACAGATTGTAATACTTTATGTGGATGAGACATGCTGTGATTGTAATATGTGGATGAGGCATGCAGTGATTGTGATATTCTAAAGTTTCAAACTTTCTTATTTTGGATGAGGCATGCAGTGATTGTAATATTTTTTTAAGTCACTGACTGTAATACTTTTTTCTTCTTTTTTTGAAGAAGTGCGCAAGTTGAATTATGTTGAAAATTTATAAAATTTTAAACCACCAATCCGCTCAATCTACATCCACCGGATTGGCGAACGGATGCGGATTGATTTTCTCCAATCCACCAATCTAGAGGATTGGAGGTTCTGTGGCCGCAACTGACCCGCACCCACCCCTACTTTTTATTAACAATTTAATAAATAATAGTGATTTGCATGAAACAAGAAGATTGTTGGAAATTGTTTCAGAACAAATCATCTTAAAATTAGGTCAAATGGAATAATGTTCCACTATTGTTATTGGAAAACAAAGAGTACCTCCCTCCTGGTCTACTTAGTCACTATATCTTTTGAGTAATATTAGAGGCCATAAAAATTTAATCAAATATCTCATATGGGTGTGAAATTTACATAATATGGGTCCTATATGAGTCTCACATCTATATGAGACACTTGGTAAAACTTTTGATAGAATTTTTTAGGCCTCTAGCATTTTTGATGCCTTTTTTAGGGCTTAATCGGAGGTCATAATTTCAATTCTTCTTAGAAAAGTTAACTTAAGATATTGCAAATATTTAGATGCTTTGTCAAGGGTGGAGAGAGTTTCTCCCATAAGTACTAATCTAACAACTAACATTTACCGATAAAAAAAGTCACAAATTTATCATGTTATTTATTTTCAAATAAATAAAAATAAAAATAAAAACTTTTTCAAATATAATTTGAATAAATTTTGAATCTATCATGCATTTGTAACTCATCACCACTTTCCAACATTCAACTTTACTTATCTTTCTCCCATCTAAAAAAAAAAAAAAAACTTTACTCATCTGTTTGTTTCTTTTTTTTTTTTTTTTTTGGGTGATCTTCTTGGCCACGTTTAACAATCAACCATACCCTCTTTATGTTCTCCCATTGAAAACATATTATAATGTTATTTTATATATCAAAATATATGCAGTCTTTTAATCTGTGTCATCAAGACATATATTAATAACCTAAGAAGACTGTACGTATTTTTTTTAGTGTGAATTACACTTTGTCTATTTATGTTTGACTATTTTTTTATTTTGACTCTTAAAGTTATTTTTTTCACTTTTCCGTTGGAGTTGTTTAATAATTCTGCCGGTCCCAAATCCGGATAAAGAAGGAAGGTTGTGTGTTAGGTAACCAACCGGCAACACGTAAAAAAGTCGCTTGAATCCCTTATGAAAATAAATTCTACTTTGAATCGATTAAATGTTAGGTCATTCCCCTTAAGGGATTCGAGTAAGGGACACCGCATCGACGCTTGGGTGAGGTGAAAAATGAGCAAAGGTTTCTGCGTTTGTCTAGACAAGTGCTTATAAAGAAACTAGTCTAAAACTATAGGTTTAGGGTAGCCACGTGGAATGTAAGAACTTTAATTGGTAAAACTATAAAATTGATAGATGTCATGATTAGGAGGAGAGCTAGTATATCTTGCATACAAGAAACTAAGTGGACGAGTGAGAAAGTTAGGAAAATAGAGGATACCAATTTTAAACTATATTATAGTGGCAAGGATAGACACAGGAATGATGTAAAAATAATAGTTGCCAAGGGTCTTGTAGAAAATATAGTTGCTGTCATTAGAAAATGTGATAAAATTATGTTAATTAAACTAGTTATTAGAGAGAATATAGTGAACATTATTAGTGCATACACCACCCAAATAGGATTAAATGATTAGACTAAGAGAGATTTTTGGGACCAAATGGATGAGGTATTACATAAGATACCCATAGAAGAGAACCTAGTTATAGGTGGAGATTTCAACGATCATCTAGAAATAGATAAACTAGGTTATGAGAGGGTGCATGATAGGTATGGTTTTGGTGACAAAAATGAGGCTGGATAGAGTATTTTAGATTTTATATTGGCTTCTATCACGACCCAAACCTGCCCCTATAGGTTTAGCGTTGTAACCGGCCAGTAATCCTTGGATTACCAAAGGCTTCTTAACAGAATAACATATAGTTAGGGGCTACAGAAGCAAATATATAAAATATAAATAGTCCATTAAGCTGTGAAAACATACATGGAACAGATAATGATAAACTTTTATAAACTTATGAGTGACATCAAAAGATACAATATTTACACGTCACTCCATGTACATATTAACAGAAATCTTGTCCGAAAATAAAAAGAAACAAAGCCTAATGCATTCACAAAAACAACCACTAAACTTGACTTAATCCGGAACCTCCTCGAGAGG